CACACACACAGGCACTCATTGGATTTCTATTCCTAACTAAGGAAGTGCAAGCAATATTTTTTACTTGTTTTTCCAGCAGTGCTCAACACTTTCCATTTGTGTGAGTAACTTTATGAATGCCAATGGGTAAGTAGAATGTTGAGCCATAGAATTAAAACAATGGTGAAGAAAACCTAGTCATTTTAGGATAAGTTATATATTTCTAAAACACTGTAATAATATATAAATCTTGTTTTCCAGCTATCAGTGGTAGCTATAGGAATTAGCATATACAGAACATCAAATGTGGATGTGCTACTGCAGTTCTTGGAAGATCAAAATACTTTCCCCAACTTTGAGCATCTGGCGTATTGGCAAATACAGTTCAACAATATAGCTGCTGTCATAGTATTTTTTGTCTGGATTAAGGTAATCTATAAATTTCATGTTCTGGATTTTTTAATAAGACTGTTCCCTTCTTTTTATTCACACAAATCACACAAAATGTTAGAGGAATTTGCTTTTGTGGCCAAATTCAAGTATGCAGCCAAATCTGCTCCGTATACTACAAGTAAGCTAGCAGGATGCATGGGATCATTCATCTCACTGCACATGATGCTCCCTGCTGCCTGCACTCCTACAAGACCTATGCCTGTCTGTGGGTTTAGTTTCCCAAACGCAGTAAGAGGCCTTTTCAGTATGTCAGCTGGGCCTGGAACCCCAGGCTACTCTAACACAGGGACAGGTCCAAGTATCACCTGATAAGGGGTGACCAGGTGTAGGAAAACTAAGTGGAATAGGAGGCAAGGACGGAAGTGGGGAGGAAGGAACATTGGACATGTTCTCTAGAAGGATTGCCTCTTTGCCGGGTGAGGTCATAGGGAAGCTTTATCTGAAATTGAGGTTGGGACAGGCACCTCTTCCGCGTAGTTCCTTAATCACTCATTTCCTTTTTTTCCCCAAGACATAATGTGCATTTCCATATATGTGAAAGGTTAGGGCATTTCACATACAATGAGCCTTCATTCTGCAGATGCAGGACATTTCAGTAATGTTGATGCAGCTGCCAGCCTGTCACCAGTCAAGTTCTGTGATTGTGCCACCCAGATAGTAGCTACTAGCCCCAAGTGTCTATCTAAATTTAAATGTAAATTAATTAAAATTACATACAATTAAACATTCAGTTTCTCAGTCACTCTAGCCACACTTTAAGTGCACAATGTCTATATGTGGCCAGTAGCTACTGTATTGGACAGTGGAAATAGAGAACATCCCCATTATCACAGAAAGTTCTATTGAACAGCACTCTTCCAAAAGATACTTACCAATGGCTATTTATTTTCCTGAATTGGTATTCACACCTGGAAGGCCTAAGATTTATCAGACCTCATTCTGTATCTCTCATGGTATCTATTCAGTCCCATGCTTGTTCAGAAGAAACCATCACTAATGTAAGAAACCTTTATCATAAAATAGTAATAATAATCAAAATCTCATAATAGAAATCATATTAGGTAATGTGATTACAACAACCCTGAAAAAATTTTTGGTGTGGCCAGAAACAGTTTATAAGAGGTCTTTAAACTCTACAGGTTTCCTTTCAATGTGTGCCTCGGGCTGGGTGGTTTATTTAATGTTTCACTTGTGAATATTTTGCCCCCAAAACTTAAAGAACCATTACGTTCTTTAAGGCCCAGTCATGACTTGACTTCTTTGTATCTCCCAATGTTCTTCCACCAAGGCTTCTAGCTAGAGCTGTGCAGGTTCGTCATGCCCTGTGGGCTGTGAACTGCCCAACCTGGGCAGCTATTTTCAGTGCCTTGTTTATAAAAATGCTCACCCAATATGGCTTTGCAGTCAAACAGAGCTGGGTTCAAATCCTCCCTCCGAGCCCCAGCTGACTCAGACAGAATACCAATATTCCAGTCACTTCCAAGATTCCAGGCAGCCTACATAAGACCTCCCCCACGGTGCCTGGAACATAGCTGATGCACAATAAATGAAAGTTAATGATATGCAACCAGTATTTCCTTTAGTTTCTTTTTTTAAACTAGCTTTCATTTGTGGAGGGGTTTCTCTTTTCATCTTTCTTAAGGGAAATATATCACTAGTCAATTATAATTAACCCTGTTTTCACTGTATTTTAACCATCATGTAAATGTAAGCAGCATGAGGGCAGGAGCTTTGTTCTGTTCACTGCTCTTGTATATTCCCAACTCCAAAAACGTGCCTGCACATGGCAGGCACTCAACAAATACTTTTTGAATGTGAAAACAAGTTTCTAGATTTTAAAAAAAGTAAGTAATTTTTCTCCTCTTTTTGTATGTTTCTAAAATATACATAAAATTTACCATTTTAACCATTTTTAAATACAATTCAGTGGCATTAAGTACATTCACAGTGTCTTGCAACCATCGTCACTATGCATTTCTAGAACTTTCTCATCATCCCAACTGAAACTCTGTTTCTATTAAACACTAACTCTCCATTCCCCCTTCCCCCAGCCCATGGTAACCTTCTTTCTGTCTCTCTGAATTTCCCTATCTTAGGTAACTTATATAAGTGGAATCATACAATATTTGTCTTATTTCACTTAGTACAATGTTTTCAGGGTTCATCCATGTGGTAGCATGTATCAAGACTTCATTCCTTTGTAAGGCTGAATAATATTCCGTTGTATGTATATACCACATTTTATTTACCCATTCATCTGTTGATATCTTCCTTCTTTTTTACAGCTCTTCAAATTCATCAACTTTAACAGGACTATGAGTCAGCTCTCCACAACCATGTCTCGGTGTGCCAAAGACCTCTTCGGCTTTGCAATTATGTTCTTCATTATTTTCTTGGCATATGCTCAGTTGGCATACCTTGTCTTTGGCACTCAGGTTGATGACTTCAGTACTTTCCAAGAGTGTATGTAAGTATATATGAAATTAGAAGAAAAATTTAATTAAAGATGCCACTGCCTTTTCAATAATAAAGAAATCTTCACGGTTGCCATGTAACCACCAAGTGTTTAAAAGTGGTTGTTTAAAATTGAGAATTCTTCTCCAGAAGATTAACTGACCGGTGCAAAGATGACCATACATTGTGGAATGCTGATGCTTAAGATAACAGCCCTAAAGTAATAAGACATAGTAGATCAGCCGTAGTAAACCAACACTGCTCCAAAGATCAAGATCTTCTTAGCACCAAATGCAAGTGGTAGCGTTTAAGAGATCATTTGCCTATATTTTTCTTCCTATTCACTATTGTTGCCATATATTTTAAATTTCAAATTATTTTCTAAGGAATATAAAAGTATTTCTAATATTCTCGGAGAAACTCAAACCAGTACAGGAATTTTCAGTATTTTTTTCCAAAGCTCTCAAATATGATATTAAAAACAGGAAAAGTAGCCAGTATCAGATTTCCATGCCATTTAGAAAGGAGTTAGTTATGAAAAGAGGTGGTCATGATAATGGAAGCTAATAGGACTTTGTGCATGGGGTTCTCTAATTAATGTTGTTGTTTGATAAAATCAGGAATGAACATGAGTTTACGAATTAAGACCCAGCATTGGCAACACGCAGCAACTCTTTACTGTGAGCGCATGTGAGAATATTGGATCTTTGAAACATACAGTTTTGTCTGTCCTTCAAAAATCTTTTTTTTTAAAAAGAGATTTTAAATTCAGACCCAGGGTGACCATTGTAAAGGCTTAGAGTTACCATATTTTACCTGTATTATATATTAAATCCTTATAGCCTATTGCTTTATAAGTTATCCAATAATAATTACTATATTTTATTCTCAACCAAATGGAAATAACATATTTAAGCATGAAAGCATATTATTTTTATTCCAGAAGGCTTCACTTGCTCATAGAAGTAGAAAGTGTTACAAAGCGATTGACAATTTTCTATTATTTGGCAGCTATCTACATTGAAAAAAACATCTGAAAGTGTGAAATCATCTTTTAAAAAATGTTTCATCAATGTTGGACATTCTTTGTTTTTGTATTGTGGTGTTGTGTTTTGTTTTGTTTTTATAGCTTCACTCAATTCCGTATCATTTTGGGTGATATCAACTTCGCAGAGATTGAGGAAGCTAATCGAGTTTTGGGACCAATTTATTTCACTACGTTTGTGTTCTTTATGTTCTTCATTCTTTTGGTATGTACTCTTTTATTTAGAGTGAGGTGATTTAAATTTCACAAATCACCATCTTTTCTTTTCTCTACACTCTGTTCCCTATCATTTTAGAAGAAGACCCAGGAAGTAGAAAAATGTAGATATTAGAAATCATATTTTATTTTATTTCTCATTGATTTACATTTTTAAGTCTTCACCAAATATTTTTTCCATGGACTTTCATTTATCCATATGTATGTAAATATGTATGTCTCTTCAATGCAAAAAAAAAAAAATAGATCAAGTGCAAACTTATAGTTGCCTAAAATAATGCTTTGCCTAAAAAATAGAATATGCTTACATGCTTTTTTAATACAAACATCAGCACTTCCATGGTCACTTTCTAGCATGACTTTGCATTTCTCACTTTCTTCTTTTCTGTTTAAAAAAGAGGAACTGACAAAGCAAACCAGATCCAGCATGTCAAGAGTTATGCTTGAGTGAATTACTGCTTGTCAGGGTTAAGATGTTTTGTTTTCACTTACTCATATTTCACTTAGCACATCTAGAGACTGCCTGCAAATAATGTTTATATTTTAAATTTAAAAGTAAATCTAACAATGAATGGAAATTGCTTGAAAAATTATTTTCAAAAATTGTTTTTATTCTCTTGATTTGGTACAAATTAACATTTTTTTTAATATTTGGCCTTAAGGTTTTTTTTGTTGCTTTTTTTGTTTGTTTGTTTGTTTTGTTTTGTTTTGTTTTAGCTGAGCCATCCTGCTACCTGTTGGCACCTCAGCGGCTGCTCAGCTCGGGCTGGACTCGAACCGCTGTTGCTCAGAGCTCAAACTCTTGAGCGAGCTCTTAACCAACNTGTCCCACCAGCTCCTGTAACTCAGTGTGCCCCAAACTGAGCTCATCCCTTTCTTATTGGATCTGTTCTTCCCTCCTGTTGATGGCACCACCCTCTTCATATTACCCCAAAAGAGACTCCAGAGTCATTTTTGGGATGTCTCTTCTCCCTTGCCACCAACTTCCAAATCAGTTGCCAAGTTCTGTTGACAATCACTGCAGTGGCTGCTGCACTCTCTCGGTCCTTCCTTCTTCCCACCATCTCTGCTATCGTTCAGGCTTCATCAGCTCTTGGTTATTGCAGGGACTGCCAACCGAGCTGTGTCAGGGTTCCCGGGGCCACTCCCAGGTTCAGTGATTCACTAGAAGGATTCACAGCACTCAACATATACTCATATTCATGGCTGAGGTTTATTGCAGTGAAAGAATATAAAGCAAAAGCAGCAAAAGGTGCAGGCACATGGGTCAAAGGCCAGAAAAACACAGTGCAAGCTTCTGGAAGTCCTTTCCCAGTGACCTCACACTGGACTTGCTTAATTCCTCCAGTAACAATTTGTAACAACATGTGTGAAATGTTGTCTGTCAGAGAAGCTCATTAGAGACTCAGTGCCCAAGGTATTTACTGGATGCTGCTCCTATAGGCACCCTCTGCCTGGCACATACAAAATCCCAGACTCCCAGAAGGAAAGCAAGTCTTCAGCATTAGCCACCTTGTCTGTACAGACAGCTTAGGCACAGCGAGCCACTCTTGCCAGTTGGGAAATTGTTTATATCAGTGTAGGTAGCTGATTATCAGTTCCAGAAGCCAGCCAAGGTCCAACTTTGCAAGCACACCTTCCTAAGGAAAGGTCATCTCAGACCTGCTATGTTAACTTTTTTCTGCTCATGAGCCCTCTGTCCCTCACCACTCCAGTTTTTCCCACTATTCTGTTTCCCCGAAAATAAGATGCAGCCGGAAAATAAGCCCTCGCATGATTTTAGGTGCCAAAATATGGCACTTTGGCATACCGAATATTTTAAGCTGAAGGACTTGGTGGAAAAGGCACCCTTCTCCCTGAAACAAGTCATAAAGCCCTCATGCGAGGGGCGCATGCCCTCCGTTCCGTATCCTGGAGGAATCACGCTAGCGCTTCTCCTCTGGCTAGGCCTTATTTTCGAGGAAACACGGTACCTCCAGAGTAACGCTGTTCTGGGCCTGTCAGAACCCTTTCCTTCCGTGATTCCACACTTGCCCTTCACAGTCTGACCACAGTCTACCTTCCGACCTTCTGTTTTTCATCATATGGAAGCCAAACCAAACGACTAGCTGAGAGCTTTTTCCTTCTCTGGCCCTGCCTGGCCCCAGCTCGGCGATGCCTTTCCCACCCACCTGTGCAAGTCCGAAGGCTACGTACCTTTCACAGCCCAGGTCCACTACAGTTTCTTCCCACAGCCTTCTCGGATCCACCTTTCCCAGCTCTGGACCTCCAGGCAAGTAGAGCTTTCCTCTGATCTGCTTGAGCAATTTCTCTATACTTCTCTTTTGGTTCTTATCATCTACCTTGTATTTTAATCATTTAATTACAACTTTTCTTCCCCTACTTATTACAAATCTGGGAGGGAAAGGATCCTGGTTCATCTTTATATCCCCATTAATGCCAAAGGAGCATCTGGTTCTTAAGTGAACCTATGTAAATATTTGTGGATTACATGCTGTGTGGAATTGTATTTAGCTCAGTTGCCAAAAGTAGCACTCGATGAACTTGTCCTTCATTTGGCTGCAGTTTCCTTTGGGGACCTAGTGTGATCTAGGCCTTGAGTACAGTTACCCAGGGAAGGCAGCCATATAAACTAAGGGCTAATAGCACGGGCTCTGGAGACACTGCTGATCTAGGTTCCTGACTCTACCCGCAAAAGCTTGGAGACTAAATTGACCCCACTAAGCCTCAGGGCCCTCATTCCTAAAATGGGGATAACAACTCTATGAGAATTAAATAAGAAAACACTTACGAAGCACCATGTCAAGCACATGACCCAGCTTGATAAGACATATTTATTACACACTCTCTCACCAAGAACTGGCTTTGTAATTGCCACAAGCCTTGCACTGATTTTTATCTATTTGTTTTGTTTTCATCTTGTGTTTTAACCAGTTGGATCTACACAAGCGAGAAAGACTTGAATGGAAGTAGCCACTGGGGAATGATTGCCACTTATAGCGGAGCTGGCTATTACCTGGATTTGTCAAGAACAAGAGAGGCAACGGCTGCTCAGATTGCTGGCCTCAAGAAGAATGTCTGGCTGGACCGAGGCACCAGGGCCATTTTTATTGACTTTTCAGTGTACAATGCCAACGTTAACCTTTTCTGTGTGGTCAGGTGTGTACCAGGGGCACGCAGCCCTCCCATTCTGTGTACTTACATGTACATCCTAGTCTGGAGATAGACCAGAAAACTGCTGTCTGCAGTTGGCTAGCTGAGAGTGCCAAGGATCAGAGCTGATAGCGAGGAGGGGCAAAAAATGATGGGTTATTGGGATAAGGGCATTTGGGGAAAGGAATGAGGATCCTTGAATATTACGAGNCCAACCCCTGGCCTTAAGTTTTTTAAAGGCATTTTTTTCTTCATCTTAACATTTATACATTGTCCGCTCTACTAAGAAAGAATTAAATTAAGTAAGCTTAACCTAAGCAGTGGGTATTTTTTCATGTAAACACTAATACTTATTTCATTATATCAACCATCATCTTAAGAAAACAATAAAACTATTTCCATTTTCAATAGACTTTATAAAGATTCTTTGTATAAGAGTCAGTATTTTAGTATATCTCCAGAGTTGGTCCAGGTATTTCATTGTTAAATATATAGTATTTACTGAGTGAAAATTAAATGTACTTTAATAGGACTAAAAGAGTCAGGAATATCTTGCAAGTCATCTATATCTTGCTGTTCCCATGTATCATGATTACTTTTAAACTTAAGCCTCTTAAGTTTCTTCTTCCTATCATATATTAAAGACAATAAAAAATAGAGGAAGAAGTAAGCCTTTGTCACTCTCTGACATTGGGAGTACTTTGGATTGTGTAGCGTCTGAACCCCTGAACCTCTACTCAGAAAACAAAACCAGGAATTGAGAGTTCTGCAGCAGCCCTTTGGTTGACTTCAGGCCACCTGAATTTTATATGTCTGTCAGTCAGCCAAGTGAGGGACATGATTGTGGCAACTGGAAATGCTGAAATGTGGACTTGTTTGAATGGTGTCCTCTAGTAAGCAGCACCTTCTAAATTATTCAGTCATTGCACCAGATCAATCACTAGAACATGAAAAGAAGCTCTTAGTTTTTGTCTTTATGCTCAAATAATTTTTTGTACTACTTGCACAAAAAGGAATTGCTGTCCCTGCACCCCCCAGAGAGAAAGGGGAGGCTACTGTCAATTCAAACCTTTCTTTTACGGAAATGAGAGCGAAGTGCAGGGTTCTTCACCACCCTTCTGAGATGACTGCCAAGTGTTAATTAATTGCACCTACTTAATAAGAAGCCACAGTGGTGTGAGGGGGCCCAGCTGAGGCAGGAAGCAAAAGCCCCAGCATCAACAGGGAAAGACGCTGATTGCAGATGTCCATCCTGCCCTTAACAGAGAAGGAAAGTAAACTTCCTCTCCCCATACCTTCAAGAGCCTTTCTCAACCACTTTCTGCTTTTTAAAATCTCTGCAGAGGATGCACACTTTAATCCATTTCAACTAAGATATCTGCAGGCCTTAGGTAACAGCCATTTGGGAGCAAAAATAAAACAGAAGCGTAGGTTGGACAGGAGAAGGTGGGAGACGTTACTGTGACTGTAGCTGTCTGCCCTTGGGATTGAGCATTAAGCCAGGAATTGTTTATTCTATATTCTCATTTCTGCTGCAGAATCTTAAATATTTCTCCTTAAGTCATAGCAATTCAGTAGCCCATTAAAATAATAGAGATCTCATTTGTTCAGTCATCAATCATTCAATAAACATTTACTGAGTCATTGTATTCCAGGCAATGTGCTAGATACTGGGAATGCAGTGGTAAGGAAAATACCCTGCCCTCATAAAGATTCTATAAACTTGTAAGGAAAACAGATATAATCAGATACATAACTCTATATTTACAAATCATAGCTAAAAAGGAAAGCCAAAGGAAGAGCATGTTAAAGAAGGATCTGATCAACTGGGTGCAATGCTTTCAGAAAATCTGTCAGAAACAGATGTTGGAAATATAAACCATTATATTGGGGAAGGAGAAAGTCAGGAAAATGAACTAACCATTACTGAATAATAATGGCTATAAATTATGTAGCATTTACCATACATTAGGCCCTGTCTTTAAGCACTTTAGATAGATTATCTCATTCATTCTTACAACAGATCTGTGTGTGTGTGTGTATGGGGGTGGAGGAGATACTATTATTTCATCCATTTTATAAATGCAAAAACAAATACATTTTTAGATGAAGATTAGAAAATTTAAACAATATAGTTGTGGCAGTGTCAAGACTTAAACCCAAGTTTGCCTGACTCCAAAGTCTGTGTCTTGTTGACTAAGCTTTTCTTGACTATCTTCCTGCTCAGCCTACCATATCCCTATTTGCAGAGATCATTTTAACTCTTAAAAATTTGTTCTGTAAACCTCAAATATTATATAACAATATTTGGAATAAGCATAGAATTCCATTTGTCTGTTGAAATTTGAAGAGCTGTTTAGAGTTCTACACTCCAAATAATTTATGTCAAATGAAAAATGTAGAGAACTAGATAAGCAAATATAAAATAATCCATTCATAGTTAAATACATTAATATTTTGTTGTATTTCATTATTGTCTCCTTTTGAAAAATATATTACAATATATGGTTTTGTAAGTAAGAAACTATGTTGCATTTTCCTTTGGCATGACTTCATTGAAAAAATAATTTTCCCAAACAACATGGTAACAAAACTCTTAATTTATGACTTCTTGAGACATCAAATTGTAAAAAAAAAAAAAGGAACAAAATGTAGTGTGTCAAAGATTAGATTAGATTGATGTTTACAAAATATATTTAGGTTTCTTCTTTAACCTCAACTTTCCTTTGATTTACAAACAGAATATGTTTTTGGCCATCATCAATGATACTTACTCTGAAGTTAAATCTGATTTGGCCCAGCAGAAAGCTGAAATGGAACTCTCAGATCTTATCAGAAAGGTATGATAAGCCCTAATTCTCAGAATTGTTTTGGACATAGAAAGAGCATTGTTTCAGCCAGATTTCCAAATCAGCATTAATCGATTGTCATTGTTTAAAATAAAGAGTAGATTGCTCTATTATAGGAGTAATTTAAGTCTTCTTAGAGAGATGGATCTACAACTAATTGAGACTTAAATTCTGGGACTCCTTTAATGGTCTGGATTCAATTCTCAATAAACTCTGGACTCTTGGAGCTGAGCTGCTGGTTTCTGAGCTTCTGGTTTCATCCCCTTTGTTTATTTATTTTGACACCTTTTCTAGCTGGCTATCATTTCCACATCCAAAGTTCAGAATAAACTGGAAGGGAAGATCATAAAAACATTTGCACTTTTTCTATCTCAATTACAGTTTAAGAAAAAAGAAAAGTTCCTGAGGCAAATACTTTGTAGTTCATCCTTTATCCTTCACCTTCCAGGGAAGTTTTAAATGAGTCAAAGGAAAAGGTCCGAGGAGTAGGGCCACAGCCGAAGGGCCTGAGAACTTTCACTTAGGCACCTTCTCAGGATATGTTTATGTTAAATTGTTAAATTGAAGGGCAGGACGGGGAAGTTGGGCACTTTTGTTCTTCTCAATGTGACATCTTTACTTGGTTTAAAATACAAAATTTAAGCCACAACAAATATCTACATCTAAAGCAAACAGCTTGTTTCCTAGCGTCATTTTCCTAAGATACAGTGGCTCCTTTTCTATTAGTTCAACCCAAAGGACTATGTTGTCTGTGAATCCTGTTGTAACAGAGAACTTGCACTTCTTAAAACAAAGTCCTTTGGATGGGAGCTCAGATTTGCATTATCCTGAATTTTGCATAACAGTTGATTACATTTTAGCAAATCTTCAGGGTGTATGCAAGCAGTCTGCACTTTGCACTTTCGTTCTGATAGGCACAAATTTCAGTTAAGTAATACCAGCCTCTCAATACAATTCAGATTTCAGTTTCACAGTGCATTGACTGTGAGTAATAACATAAAGTACAAACCACTTTCAGTTTTCACAGTATATTTACTGAGTAATAAAATGAAGTGCACACTTCATTACAGATCATTACATAAGTAACAGATGTGCATCATAATCAGTGACCAATAATGTCTCTTGCAAAGTCTTGGATTGTCACAGAGGATCTGCTATTCAGTTCACTCACAAAACATGTAATTGTGCTGCCTCCTTATATCCCAGTGATAAACCATGTGACATTTTTACAAAAATGAATATTGGAAGAAAGAGTGGGCCAGCAAAGATGAAAGTATAGCAAAAAAAAAAAAGAATTACAATACTGGAAGTGAAAAATCAAAACAAACGTATTGGATTTACAGAAGAAATAAGTAGCTGGCAATGGGAATGTCACTGCCACTATTCGAGAGATCTAGATATACAGCTAAAAGAATAGTGAAGGCAAATTTATCCGTATAAATGAGACAACCAATTGTGACAGAATGGATGAAGATGTCACAGAGGAAGTGACACTGTCAAAAAAAAACTTCACATTTAAGGAATTCTTGGCAATATTTCACAGCACGAAAAGTACAAAGAATAAAATCTTGGGAGCTGGCCCATATTAAGAAAGGATTATGATAACTCACCAAGACATAGAAAAGATGCCCATTCCATACCGTAAGTGTTCAAAATACTCTGGATAAGTTTTTTGTTTTGTTGTTTGTTTTTCCCCCTAAGGGAAAAGAGCTGCACTGCTTCTATTGCCAAGGAGATCATGGATCCAGTAATTTCTGAGTTAACCTCAGGAAGGTTTAACTATCCATTAACCACATTCTTGAGTTCAGGCTAGACCATCACATATTTCAGGTTTTATACTAAGTCATGGGCTTGGTCCCAGTGCAAATTTAAGCTGTGAGTATGTTGGGACCAGCATCATATGGTACTGTCTTGGCCTCAGGGCTCACAAATCATTAGACAAACTGGGATCCTTTTCACTAGTGAAAATCACTATCATGTGCTAATAACAATAGCAATAATAATAATAGCTAATACTTTTGCATCCTTATAACGAACACTGTGGGGTAGGAACAAACTTTCCCCAAGGTTCTTCTGGCTGGTCTAATAATCAAATAGACATGAGACAGATTAGCAAGAGAAAATAACCAAATTTAATACATACATATGTATGGGAACCCCACATACATGAGAGAGTCAGAGACCCCACATGCATGAGAGGTTCAGAGACAGAGAACTTGGTATATAAGACATCCTGAGCTAGGGAAGAGGTAAAGTGCCTTGGGGGACTTCATGAGGTCATTGCAGGATGATAAAAGCAGCAGACCTTTAGTAAGTAGACATTTGCTCTGCCTAGTGAAAACTAAGAAGTAAGCAATTGTGAACTGTCTGTTACACCAGTATTTTACTTAGATTGATATATTTATGAACACATATGAGTTTCTAGGTATATATGTATTTCCTCACAGCACAAAAATTTTTAATGTGGCATAAGACATGTTTACTAATAGATGCAAATATCTTTAGTTTCTCTATAATAAGCAAGAAGTTGATAAATATATGTTCAGTAATTAATGTTTCATTATTTTATTTGGACATTCTATGAATATACATCATTTAATTTAGCTAGCAAGACATTAGAGATTTAGGAAATATAAGAGAGATTTAGGAAACCCTTTTTAACAATGTAAATATTGCTAAAGAGTTCACCAAAAAAGAAACCTTTTATCCTACTTGCATTTATTTAATTTACTTGCTCCTAACAATAGTTTATAGATTGTTTATGAAAATTTCATCATACCAAGTTACTTTTCTTGCTGACAAATTTTGCAACAGAGAACTTGTTTGACTAATAAACCCAGGTAGAGTAAAAGTATTATTTAATGCTGATTATTCTAAAGATATGCCTATTTAACCAAACCAAACTCAAACCAGCTTTAATGTCAAATATTTTTCCAGATCATGTGATTCCCAAAAGTTTTGGGATTAGTTTCTGTTATATTTTTGAGAATTCTCATATAAGTGCTTATTTGTTTAAGCCAATTTAATAGAGCTTCTTTTTTATAAATTAACAACCATCCGGAGGTAGAAAATACTAGACTTATTGGGGGGATCACTGCATAAATTACATAAATGCCTAACCTCTACTGTATACCTGAAACTTAATATAGAATAATATTGAATGTCAACTATAATGAAAATATGTGTGTGTGTGCATATGTATGTATATATATATATATATATATATATATATATATATATATATATCCCCCCACAGGATATAAAGTACAGCATGGGGAATATAGACAGTGGTATTGTAATAGCTATGCACAGTACCAGATGGGTAGTAGACTTGTTGGGGTTATCACTTTGTGAGGTGTATAAATGTCTAATCATTATGTTGCTTTTTACACCTGAAATTAATAATAAAAAAGCACAAGACACATAACATACAGACAGACATGAACAGAAATCTCCTAGCCTTCATTTAAAAATTACTGCCGTAGTACGTATAAGATAATGTAAAAGAACAGCTGGATCCAAACTCTGTTTCTGGAGGAATAAATTAAGGTTACCTGTATAGATGGCTAAAGCTTTTTCTTACTAATATTTGTGGAGAAAGCACTTAAGATTTGTATTTGTCCTTCGCAAGGGAGCTTTGGAGCCAAAGAAGCAGTTTGTGCTTTCCAAAACACCCTTGTGTCCTTTTTTTTTTTCTTTAGTCTTAAGAATTGTGGATAATAAAGATAGCTGGGCTTTGAACTGCTTCTAGAGCTACACTTCCAGTTTCACAAAAATTTGTAAGATTAAAACAATTGTTCTCAAAATCTGGGCTGTAACTTAAGTGGCACCATAAATTGACCTACTTGTCTAACTACATAATCTCTAATTTGCTTCTTTCCCCTGGGTATATAGTCTTATTTTATCTTAGGAAGGGGGCTCAAAAGAAAAAAAATTTCCTGTCAAGCTCTGACATTAGTTTCCAATTTGCCCAAATTTCTCATCAAAAAGTTATTAAATCCTTTCAAATATCTTGCCAGGTTTCAGCTGGGACAAACAGTAAATATTTCTGGCATTATTAAGCAATTCCATGGACCCAAGAGGGCACAAAAAAGGTTACTACTTTCTAGATCTTTTCCTCTGATAGCCAAAAGAAAGAACTGACCGCCTTCATGTACCAGCTCCCAGTGAGACACAATGTCTATTTCCACTTACAATCAGGTAAAAGAAATGCAATCAATTAAGGTTTACATAACTTTTTTAAACATAAAGCCTATTCAAACATATCAATTTTCATAATCTTATCAATCTTCACATTTCCATATTCTTTTAATCTAATTGTAGCCCGAGTCAGGGCTTCACCAATGGATTTTGGTACTACTGTTCATGGCTCTTATATCACAGAGTCCTGGAAATTTCTTTTTTGTATCTCCTGACCAGTTTACCTACTCTTGAGTAAAAAGGCTTTGGGTCCCCAGCAAGATACACCAGGTGATGCTGGGCCTGTTATCAATCTTTAACTTGATTTAACCAGCTTGACTATTGCCCCCAAGTGATTGATTGCTGGCCAGGTTTCTCATTGTATTCACTTCCTTACAGTCTTTTAAATTTCTCCACACGGGGATAAATAGAGCAGACTTATTTGGGGGTACCAATAGCAGGTCAATTTGGCCCATTCAGCCTTTGCTAGTGCTGTACTAAAACCTTTGTTTTAACCCCATGAATGTCTGTTTTATTTATTCCATTTTTTTTTCTTTCTAATTGGCACATTCGTCACAATAGCCATTGGAATTTTAGATTATCATTTCCTTGAGTGCTGGTAGCAGTCTGATAGGACCCTACCCATAAATGGAGTTTAGCCAACGTTTCTGTCTGGTCATATTTTGGAGCTTCCAACCTGACAGTTACCAAGCCGAGTTCTTAGGACATCAAATTTTAGATTGTCTTTAAGTAAGATTTTGCCACCCTTTTTCTTTCATTTTTCTTTTTAAGTACAGGACAGTTGTACTTCCAATGCCCTGATTTTGTTGTTGTTGTTGTTTTTTACAATATCTGTAAATATCTAAAGGTAAATAGAAAGAGGTCTGAGTAGACTTCGATTTTTGTTTTAATTTCTGTCCTTCCATCTTATTATTGGAATCTTAATGACTAACTGTTATGACAATATGAGAGCTCTCTAAGAAAAAAATTTTTTTTTTTCAATTTAGAACTTTTTCCAATTAAAAGGATGCATCATCTGGCCTTGACAGTAGGATCTATAGCGACTCAAACCAGTACTATGGATGTAAGAGGAGAGTGCAAAACGATGTAGCCCTCACAAGGAAGACTATCCCCAGAGTTAGCCCAAGAAACATGGAGGGAGGGGAGAGTGCTGTCTTTAAACAGCTGTTCCAAAACACAGGGAATCACTTGCTTTCCCCATTTGAACAGAGTAAGGTTTAAGATTCCCTAAGCTTGGATCCACAACCTATTTGGCGGCCCGCCATTTGCATAAGCATCCTCCAACTGGTGGAGATAATAGACCATCTCTAGGAGGAACCGAGTAGACAGAAAATTCCATAGAGAACTTGTCATGGCCGGATAGAGAGCAAGGTGCAAGGTGCACCCTGGCAAGTGCACCCTCTGGATGGTGGAGGCCAGAGAGAAAATAGTCTCACTAGTCACAAGGCCCAGCTCTCAGGACATACAACACGATGAAAGGAGAGAAACCAGACAGAGACAGAGAAAAACGAAACCCATGAATACTCATACCAAGTAAAAAGAGAGTCACTAGTCCAAGAAACTAGTTTCACAAATATTTTCTCCTGCCAATCTAAATTTAGAAGAGAGAAAAAGACTCTCACCACCTCCGCTTCCACCAGATCCTGCTGACAGAGATCTGGGAGTGTGCTGCCTGGGTAAGCACCCTTACCCTCTGCCAGCACGTGTCAGATGCCCCAGGATCGTCTCATCTGCAGCAGCCTCGTGGGGAAGCGCGGGGTTCTAGCCAGTAGGTTTATCCTGCTCGTGGTACCAACTGTGGGGAAGGAACAAACTTCCCTCTACCCTCAAGGTTCTTCTGGCTGGTTTAATAATCATAGGCATGAGACAGAATGGCAAGAGAAAACAACCAAATTTAATACATATACGTATATGTATGGGAACCCCACATACATTGGAGAGTCAGAGATCCCACATGCACGAGAGGTTTGGAGATAGAAAGGGAACACGAGGATATAAGACATGCTGAGCTAAGAATAAGGTAAAGTGCCTTTAGGGCTTGAAAAGGTCATTGCAAGATGATAAGAACAGATGCCTAGTAAATAGAAGTTTGTCCTGCCGTATAGATAGGTCAAAAGAGGTTATCTCTGATAATCTCTTATTTGTGGGCAAGGACCCTAATTCAAATTATTCTAGGTAATTAAGGGGAGGGCGGAGTTTTTCTTGAACCTGTGGCTAAAGGTGCCTTTAGCTCAAATCAACCTGCATACCACAAAGGTATATCTGGGGTGTCTCATTATGAATCCCCATAACACAACACTAAATACTTTTCGAATGTATTATCTCATTTATTTCTGATGACTGTTATGTCAATTGATTGCTGTTATACACACTGTAGGTATGATGTATTATAACTGAGGCATGAAGGTGTAAGCGTGTCCTGTCCAAGGTCCTATAGCAGTTGGGCTGGTCCATAGCACATGTTTGGGCCAGGACTTGGACCCAGGTCTACCTGGCTACAAGTTCATGCCTTTAACACTTTTAAAAGACTTTACGTATAGCGAAAGGAACTTGTTTTATTTGGATAGGAAACAGGAAGACAATTCTAGTGCCTTCTCCTTTCAATAACTTAATATGAACTGCTCAAAGTGAGCAATATAGATGCTTCTAAGCATCTGTGATTCAATATTTTTGGATCCCAGAATGCTGTTATAGAAATAAGTTGCAGTGTAACTCGTACTTTTCTTGTAAGATATGCAATGTGAGATATTCAGGGTGGTTGACTCTTTGCTGTTTGGAAAGTAAAATTTCTGTTTGTTTTATTTATAACATCTCTGACTTTGAAGCACTCAACCCTTATCTTGATCCCCACTGGCCAGGCTGCCCAAATAGTTAGTAAAAGTGATTTTGGGGAGTATCCACTCACATGTTTGGTTTGGGGGAATATTCACCATCATAGTCTATGAAGCTACCACACACCCCCAAAGTCTCTTAAAAATTGCACGTATTGTCTCAAAAGAATCTTCCAGTCAGAAAGGTGACCCTTTTGGGAGGTGTCATTGAAATCCCAGCATTTAGGTCTAATTGGTAGAGGGGGTTGCATGAGATTGTGATTTAGAAGGTCTTAGGATAAGTTTAGGATAAAACTTAGGAAAAGTTTTTTACAAAGAAAAAAATTTTTTCAATGTTTCTAATGTTTTAAATTTGAAAGTACTAAATATTTATTTTACTATTTGTTTTATTGCGCTAAGACTTTATAACCAATGCTAAGGGAATTTTTAATGTTTAGCAAACAGTTTTAAAGGTCATAGAACAATCATAATTTTTCCTGTTGATTATTAACATCACTTTGTACAGTTTGAGCTTGCATGGTCATTTTTACAGTCCTGTACTACAGTGCAGAGCAAATTCTGCCTACAATTTCTTAATGAAAAATCCACATTCACATTTTACTGAATTTTTTTTACATGCTTAACATATATAAGGAAATTACTATGAGATAATATAGAAAATAAACAATCTATGACTCAGGTTTCTTGGTATTCTTAAAAACTGTTCCACATTCATACATATTCTGAGGCAGAGAGCTATGAAACATGTAGTGATTTTCATTTCTATAACCTAAACTTGAATTGACATATGAGCAAAAGGCTCTTAGTTCTTGATTTACTGAAAGACTTTGACCCTTTTCATATAACTTTTCCACATGAGTTTTATGGAAAACTTGGGGTACATTTGTTATTCATTCATTCAACACATACTTGATGAGTGGCCAACTTATGTCACGCACTCTTTTGGTTATTGAGTTTACAGTAGTTAGAACTGTAAATGGAAGGTAAAGCAAATGCAAAAGGAGAATACACTAAACCAGGTGTCTTCTTTTCAACAGGGCTACCATAAAGCCTTGGTCAAGCTAAAACTAAAAAAAAGTACTGTGGATGACATTTCAGAGAGTCTGCGGCAAGGGGGAGGGAAGTTAAACTTTGATGAACTTCGACAAGATCTCAAAGGGTAAGAATTACACTTGCTGTGGACCTGGGACTTTGCTTATGTAAAGATAAATTGTGGTGATAAGGGTATTTCTGAGCCAAGTACTCATAGAGACACTTTTTTTTTTTTAGAGGTGGGTATCTTTCTGGAACATATTGTAACAGCAGGACTGTTGCTAATTTAGCAATTTGTCCTTTCCTCTTGCATTTTGTTGTCTGTTTGGGTTGGACCATGTATGTGAATGAGTTCATCTATAACTTCTCAATAATTTCAGGAAGGGCCATACTGATGCAGAAATTGAGGCAATATTCACAAAGTATGACCAAGATGGAGACCAAGAACTGACTGAACATGAACATCAGCAAATGAGAGACGACTTGGAAAAAGAGAGGGTAGGTCTAGTTTAAGAGAATATGATTGATTCAGTACCCACAGTGGTTCAAACTCCATACTAAGTGGTAAGTTAGTCTCTCTCTCTCAATCTCTCTCTCTCTCTCCCCAAATCCCCAATCCCCATCTCTCTCTGTATATAAATTTATGTATTAGTACCCTGCTTATTCTAACGAGGATATATAACACAATAATATATAAAAATGCAGTAAGTTAGCATAAATGTAAAAAATCAAAATGAAGAATGAAGCAAAACAAAACAAAAGTGAAATATAAAACTAGATTATGAATGAAGTGAAAATGCATTCCATAAAACACATATGCTTAGGACCGGCCGAGTGGCGCGTTGGTTAAGAGCTGGCTTGGGACGCCAGAGGGCCCCGGTTCGGATCCCACATATGAGGGCCAGTGACACTGCC